ACTATCATAGTTCGTCAAGAAACCAATATTTTCAATCAGTTTGTTTGGTATCTGATTTGTCCAGGATCTTGATAGCCATAACAAAGTTTCCCCATAAACAAAATTCACCAAAATACTTATAATTCGGTCAAATATAAAGTAAGTGTGAAAATAAGAAACAACGCAATCCTAAATGAGATTGAAGTACTTTTAATTAGACAAATGTAATCAACCATTGAGATATCAACATGTAATTTTTTTAACCGCGTATATTTTGAAGTAGCTAAGTTGGTAAACGGGGCATGCTATCTTTGCAGGTTTTCCAACGAAGTGGAAAGTCCGTTTAGTAGCTATTTATGTTTTGTCTATTGAGTTAAGACTTAAGACCCTATAAGCTATTATTCTGATGAAACCAACTACCATTGATTCCGTTTACTTCAACAGAGAGCTTTACAACAGAATTCGTAGAAGTTCGTGTTAACAGCAATGATGATTATGATAGTGGCCTGTGCGTCTCCACGCTTACGTGTTTAACAGCTTGATATATATCAGAGAAAGGTTCCTCATGCAGCATATCATGATATGTTATGGTTAAAAACCTGGCAACTTTTCAATGGAACATTTCTTTGCAGGTTTTTAATTAAGATACTCTTTAGCATAAGCCGCATATGTATGGTTTCCATAAAGTTTTGTCCATACCTGTCTAGACTTTAGAAATTTCCATACCTTTACGGTCAATTTGAATAAATTAAAGACAGTAAAAAGAGTAAGCTTTAGTTTTACAGTATCCAGGCCTGTCTTTGGAAATTTCCACTATTTCCATATATTTACTACTGATTAGGAATATTATAGTAAGTGAATAACTTTTTAGCTTGACCGGAGATTTCAAAAAACAATTATGTATATCTGTATTATAAATATAAAGGTGTCGCTGTTTTTATGCCGTGTGTTATGGTCATAAATAGACGTTATTATTCCCACAAAACTTTTTTTGTTCTCGACAGTGGCAAAGGTGCACTAACTTGTTATATTGTGGTGCTGACCTAATTTTCAATACTTCAGAAAATCAGCACTTAAAAAACTATGTGTTTGCCAGGATAATTACAAGTAGCTAGCACAGCAGCTGAATCGCAGTATAACGCATGTTCGGTAACGTGAAAGCATATTCTCGCCCCATGTAGTCTTGGATTTTGCATTCCACGATATATAACTGGATTCCGAACGCCTGGAGCTGGATTACGGATCCAAAAGCACGGGATTATTGATTCCAAAAGCAAAAATTTCCTGGACTCCGGATTTCACAAGAAGAGATTTCTCAGATTCGGGATTCCACAAGCAAAGATTTCCCAGATTCCGAATTCTCGGCTTGAGAACATCACACTTTAACATATCGATAATAAAATTAAAAAAAGGTCCCAGAGAATTTTAAGGACCTAAAATGTGAAAAGGGCCGGTGGACACTGATTCAACAAAGAGCATTATATTGGAAGTTTAGAGGAAACTTATTGATTAAACGATTTTAAAAATAATTGCAGAAAGAGAGACATCAGCAAAACCAGCACTGAAAAGTTAAACGAAACTTGTGAGTTGCAAAAATCAGTTCCACAGCATGACACGTGACAAGTGATTTTCATCTTATCTTCTTCCCTCGCTCCTTCTGCAAGGCTCTTACAAGGCGGAAAAAAGCTGCTTGAACATTCTCCATTAGCCACACATCCTAGGCCAAACCATGTTGTCTTTTGGCCGGAGTTTTCTTGAGACACCTCATAGTGGAAGTGCACACAGCGCGCATCGTCTATTGCGCAGTCCACCGTTGTTGCATTTGCGGCGCATTCTTCATATGACTTGCTGCTGTTGCATTTACTGCAGATTAAGCTGTTTACTGCAAGGGAAACAAAAGTGTTTAAAAACTGGGAAATGTACCAAAACGAAGGAAAAATGAAGGGGAAGAATGGCAACCACCAGTTATCGATTTCTCCATCCCTTCACGTTCGCAAACAATTTTGAATGTTTTATTTCGTTCGTTTTAATTTTCCGTTTTTTTCTCTCATTTCGGTCAAATTTTGACAAAAATGAATTGAAAAACACAGCTAAATTTTGAATCAGACTGAAACAAAAATGAATCATTCTGTAAAGTATTTATAGTTATACAAGCACATCAACAGGAAAATAACTTATTTAAATTTAATCAAACTTATTAAACTGGTATGGCAGTTGGATGCACTGAGGAAATGGACAGCAAAATGGAATTGTCATTTGGTTTGCTACTTTTTTGTATTGTGTTCCGAAAAAAGAAAAAGAAACAAATTAAGAAAAAAGAAACAAATTAAAAATGTTTATCTCATTAGGGATTAAAGGTACGTCACCTCTAGTGAGCCTAAAGCCTAAAGCCTAATCCAAATTCTGGCAGCCTTGCGTAGATGATGGCGTCCCCGAGAGAAACTACTTCAAATTTTTTAAAGTACTGTAAAAATTTCTGGAGCTGATAAAGGTGATTTTAAAAATTGTTTCAAAAATTTAACAATTTTTTTTAGCAAAGTGATGACAAACAGTCACAGTACGATGGCTGGAACCTTGATCAAATATAAACAGCAAAATTTTTTTCCATGAGAATTTTGAAGCTTAACAATCACTAATCAAATAAAAAGGCTACGAAATTCTTAGGTGAACAAAACATACAAATGCCGAAACTCTGACGCCAACGAACAGCCACAAAATTTAAGGCGCGCTAAAGAGCTCCTAACAGATATTTCCAAGAAAACGGTGGTTGGTTGAATATTTGAAAGTCATGATGTGTAATCTCAGAGCTTCTTTGTCATT